CAAGAACATCGGATTGCCTTCCCTCTTCCTTTCCACATCTGCCCTCTCGCCTGGCCGGGAAATCCCAGGTGCTGAAAGGTGGAATCGCCGTGCCTCCTGCGCTCCCCTGCCAGGCACACGCTGTCCTCAGGTGCCGAGCTGCCTTGGCTGGCAGAGGGCCAGGCAGCATCATGCAGTCGTTGTGGAGGAACAGCACAACAGAGCCTGGCACTGCTCCCAGGAACTCCTGGTACAAGCCGTGCCTGCAAGGCTTACGTGGGCAAGGGGACATCCTGCCCGGTGCTTGTGGAGAAAGGGCAGCCAACCTGGTTGTGCCAGTCTTGCTTCCCCCTCAGCTTTGCAGTCACCATGTATGTCTTTTTTTAGAAGCTGCATTGTGTACATGCTGATGTGTTGTGTTTGTTCAAAGGCTGCACGTACACACCGCCAGCATGTGTTATTGTTGGCTGCTTCCCTAAGTGACAGCTTTAATCATTTTTTTCCTGGTTGCATTTCCTGTTGCTCTAGTTCAAGCATCAAGCCTACTTTGGCTAGAAGATGCATTTTAGTTTACATATCTGCTGTGTGCTGCTGAAATTCTCCTTAACTGCAGGGGCAAACCTGTGTTTCAAGCCATATCATTCTGACCTGTAGGTGAGAGAAAGTATAGCTTCATTTTCCTCCATAGGACAACACTGAAAACACGGCCGTGTGTAGAATAAGTGTTCTTGAGGTGCTGGAGAGGGGAGACTAGATTAAAAGAAAGTCTGGTTTTTTATGTAAAGGGCACATATTGTATGGAAAGGCATTAAATCATATAAAGCCTTCATGTAACTCAGACATAGACGTAGCACTTGATGGGAGCCTAATCAAAGGCGTAGGAACTCTAGCAAGAAAAGAAAAATGAGGGTGATCCATCAGCACCCCACTCTGAAGGACCCACTTGCATTCAAGCCAAGACATTTCAGGTGCTTGCAGATACGGATTTTATTGTGCTATCTTCTTTCTTCCCTTCACACAATGTCGTGGAGGATCCAGGTGTCATGGTCCTCTGGTGTTTTCCTACTACTCCTTCCTTTCTTTTTGTCTCACCATGGAAACTCTGCTAAGGAGGAAAATAAGGAACTGCTGAGCGATGTTTCCTGACAGGTGGAGCTGGCCGGCCTTCACCTGGGAGCACCCTTCGTAGAAGTGTGGCTCCCAAGTTCATCCTATCGCTTCTTTTCATCAGCTTGGCCTCTTCACACCTTACACTCTAAAGACACACTTGTATGAATATGATGTGTATAGATGGCAAACAGGTTTTTTGAACTCCATATATGAAAATGGTACATATACCATGGGAAGAACGGAGTGATTGCAGCTCCCTAGACATTGTAGGAAATACGTGTGTATTCTGTGTAATGTACAGAGAAGCCCCAGGAAGGTTGCAGCATTCAGTGAATGAAATTGTGTCATTCCTGGTATATGGTTATTTCAGGGTGTTCTTGGCTGCCCATCATCACCGCGGCTGCCCACTGCTGGACATCACAACCCCCCCACCCCCTGGTGAGAGCAGATGGGGCCAGGGGGAGAGGAGGCGGAGCCTCCCAAGGCTCAGAGCCTTGTGTATTGCCTGTTTGGCATCCATTTGGCACTGTTTTGGCACTATTTGGGGGGAACCTTTGCTATGGGTTGCTGATTTGTTACTGTATTTAATGTTTTTTGTTTGCTAAATATGATTATTCTGATGTTTTATGTATATTTTAAAATTTGTAAACTGTGCAAAGAGCCCAAATGGACTATGTTGTTGTTGTTAGTCATGAAGTCGTGTCTGACCCATTGCGACCCCATAGACAACATTCCTCCAGCCCTCCCTGTCCTCCACCATCCACCGGAGTCCACCCAAGCTCACACCAACTGCCCCAGTGACACCATCTAGCCACCTCATCCTCTGCCGCCCCCTTCTTCTTTTGCCATTTATTGTTCCCAGCATTAGACTCTTCTCCAGGGAGTCCTTCCTTCTCATTAGGATAGGGCAGTATAAAAGGATGACAGTGATTATGATGATGGAAGTATTTGTAATGTGCTTTTCAAAGGATGTCATGATCAAACACAGCATCTCCCGACCTGGCACCCTCCAAATGTGTTGACCTGCATTTCCCATAATTTCCAGCCAAGATGACCATCCTGCATATTTGCGGGGTTATGGCTGTATATTCTACAACCTGAGCGAAAATCTCACGGACTTGGCCAGTGCCTACTTGCTTTACTCTGCTCTTTTGACAACATCTGTTGTAGTCTCACTGCTGTGGGGCTTGTTACCCAAAGAAGCCCGCCTAGGTCCCATATTGCAGGCTTTAAAAACATTAATGAAAACGTGCCGTTCTTGAGAAGGCTTTGCAGAACATTTTGCAAACATCTCGGTGTTTTTATCAGCTTCAGTGTTGCGAAATTTTCAGAAATGCACAATATTAGCCTATTAATAAATAGGAGACCCAACCCATTATCTTCCTTATTTCACCTTTTGCATTCCACTAGGACCATCACTGCCAATAGGACTGCAGCATGCAAAGAGGCCTGCACTAAGTTGCAGCCAATTGGCCGAAGTGCCACTGAGGTCACCCTTTGTTATTGTTGTTTTACTCTAGACCAAAAAGGACATTTTGTCTTTTGAATCTGGAAGGAAAAACTAGTAAACACCGATGCATGCGCATACATTCCCTCCCAGTCAGTTTTGGGCTAGGTAACAAAACTACTTTTTTAGGGTTTTTTTTAAGTATTTTGAAATGTTAAAAAAGAAAGCCTTTTCATAATATTAAGGAATCTATATAGGCTAAGCTTACACCCCACCAGAGAAGGCGGAGAGTCGTCGAGATGATGGAATGGCATGCATGGTTTCTGATTATTGTGGGTTGTTACTTGTCATTTTAAAAGTGCCTCGACTCTAGCTGTTGTACAGTAGCTATGTTGAAGAGAGCAAACCGTGCTTGCAGGCTTACAGTCATTTTAAAAATTATTACACATGAGTCTTGAAATCCTTTCCATTAATCAATCCTCCCACTTTTGAGCCAGCATTCGTGCCTAATCCACATCTCCTTCTCCTCCTGGAATGTAATTTCCTCTCTAACCCCCCTTTTGAATTTGGAGTGTGGGGTGAGGGAGGGATTATTCAGCACGCAATTAATTCTAACACAGTTTGGGGGTTTTAGGTGGCGTGAACGCGATTACCACTGTGTGTGTCCATACATGATTTTCTAGGATGGGAAACTCTAAACTGCTTGTTAAAACCTCCAAATCTGGACTCCCGCCCACCCCCACCCCATCAGAAATGTTGCAGAGTAATCTCCTGCCAGAGTTTTTCCATATTCATAAAGATTTGAGTGGGGTCACATGGCCACAAGGTGGAGTGCCATGCCTCTAGGGTGTGAGTTCTGCATTTGGAGCAGCAGACTCCAAAGGGTCATGGCTGGGTAGTTGGTTAGTAGTTCATCTGGCAACATGACTCACTGGCCTTTGCACCAGAAAAACATACATTGAAAAAGCAAGCATGCTGCATCTATTGCAAGGTTCAGCTGAGGGGGAGAAAGAAGAAAGGGAAGGGAAGTGACATCAGGTATAAGTATATCCACCCTGTTCAACCAGAATTCTAATTCTTTTCAGCAGTAATTAATGATTTGCTAAAAGAAGAGGCACCACTAGCTTCCTGACTGTCACCAGATCTTAATTTCCAGACAGAAAGTAGTGTATTTTTTAGATTAAACAATACCAATATCTGCCATTCCAAAGGGATATTAACAAATTCCATATTTATAGAAGGGAATATAAAATTCATATTTTTTGCACCTCAGGTATATCTAATGCTTTCCTCCATTTTTTCTCAATTGAGGGGAGCATCAGAAATTGACAGTACTTACTTTAAATTACCATTTAAGTGAGAATTTAGTTTTCAAGAAACTGGTTCTTTGACTTGCATATTTAAACAAAAATTATACTCAAGATTTTCAAAGTTTTAGATTCTGTGCTGAAAGCGCTTGCTCAAGTGTAGAACTCACAGTAATTTCTTACTTTTAGATAAGAGATCATTTAAATCAGCTGCTTAAAAGTATCCAGTTATATCAAATAGTTCTAATGTATGGATTCTGGACAGAAGCAAGTTAAATGCACACAAATAGTACTGAATGTGCTATTCCTTGTACCTGTGCTGTTCCCTCTCTGTGTGATCTTTCTCCTCCACCTAGAGTTCAGCTGCAGACTGAGCTAACGCAACTTCTTTTGTTCCTGTCTCCCAGTTCAGAGCCAGCACGGGGTTAATAGTATCCTTAGGCTGGGGAGTTCATTCAGTTCCTTGTCTACCAAGTCAATTACTTCTCTCAGCCCTGACCTGCTTCATTGGGTTGTTTGTGTGGACAGAATGGAGTGACCCCATGTACCCCACCCTAAGATCTTTGGGCAGAGGGTGGGCTATGGTTACTTACATGCAGCACTGTCACCATCCCATCGCTTCATTCTGAGTCACATGTTGATGCACACATAGGGGGCAGAAAGATTTGGTTGTTGCTGGTGGACTGGTTTCTCTCCACCTTCTGGACAGAGCCCATACTGATGGGCTGGCTTTGGGCAAAGATGAACTAACACCACAGCACTAGGACTGCATGGGACCCCAGGTTGAGAGGGAAGCTAGCTGGTGTCTGTGTGTGTGTGTGTGTATGAGTGAGTGCGTGTATGCATGCGTATGCAATGAAACCTCTTCCTCAGCACCCTTATCACTTCTGTTGCTTGAAGATAAAGTAAAGTGAATCCACTTGTACTGCTCTCGCCCCCTGGTTTCTTGAAGGGTGTGGGATGATGGAAATGGAGCTGTGTGAAGTGAGAGGGTGAGCTGTGGCGGTGGGGAAAGCGCTGGGGCAAGAAGTCATGAGGTGGGATAAGACTTCATAAGGCTATGACAGATGGAGAGGCATGATGACATGAACTTGTAAAGTTCCCTTTTCATAATCAATTGACTTTTCTCTCTCCCTTCCCCACCCTCTTTCCTTAAGGTGGCCGGATGGGAAACGTAAAAGAAAAAGCAGCCAATGTTCGGTGAAAAGCAGCATGTCAGGTACGTACATTTGCAGCCCTTCTGTGCTCAAGTCTTTCCGGCCTCCATGCTTCTCTCCTTCCTGGTACGAGAGGGCAATGGTGTTACACCCCTTGCACCAGAGAACAGAGGAAGTGACCCAGTTCTGCTTCATTTTCTGTCCCCTGCCTTTTCCCTAAGATCTTGCACACTGCTCACTTGCACAATGGGAAAGGCCATCCAAAGACGTTTGCACCTGCAGGCAGTCATTTTTAGCCAGCAAGTCAAGACATATTAGTGGGATTCTAGCTGGTCAGAAACTTATGTATGGGTGCTTCCGTATGGAAGGTAATGCCAGCTTGGCACCGCATTTTATTTGTGTAGGGTAGGCCTTCATAAAGATATTGGGGCAGAGAGAAGGAGCAGTTCCCCATTAGCTCCCTGTCACAGTTGTGCTCAGTGACAAGTGGAACTCCAAGCTGTAAGCAAGTGTGATGCAGTACTTTTGTGGATTTACAATGCCCCACCCCAGAATTGTTTTAATTGCAGAATCTTAGAGGAGAGAGGAACTGGACAAGAGAGGCTGTCCCTCCAGGGTGCTTTAAACAGGATCATCCGCCCACCAGTATCCCTCAGGTTCAGTGTGGGCCACAAATGGAGAACAAGACATTGTGGTCATGTGCTTGTAAAGCTAATAACTCCCAGATGACTTGAGCATGTGAGCCAAGCCTCACAATGCAGATTCCTGCAGTATGCAATTGTGCAGGCACACCTAGTTACTAACCAATCTGCCTTGGGGAACCCAATGTCAACCTCGATAAAAGGACGATTCGTCCATGAGGAGTCCTTGTTTTTAAATGTTTTTAAAGGTATACAACTCCACACAAGGTTTTTTCTCTAATGCTGAGGCAGGATTTTCCTGATGCCCCAGAAAATGATATAGAGTAGGAGAAAAGAAAATGATATCTTAAAGAGGAGGAGAAAAGAAGTAGGCAGGAAAGTTCGCCTTGACCCCAACAGCTCATCACCAAGATACCAAAATCTTAATAACAGGATGTCCTTCAGAAATGTACCAAACTCTTCTCTGGAACCCATTGAGGTTCTTTTGATGTTTTCCACTGGCCCAGGGAAGGAGGTCACGGGGCAGCTCAGGATATCGGCTCTCAAATGTCAAAGTCTGCATGCGGAAGATAAACCACTAAAGGGCTGGGGGATGCAAGAGGTGAGGCCACCGTGGGTCATGGGGCAAGACACAGGGACAGGAGCACTGGCGAATATGAACGCAAGCTTCACTCATTAGGTTGATTTCTCTTGTGGCCCTGCAGTCTGTCATTTACTTAGCTCCCCTCACTCCCAGATCAAAACCTTTTTATTGACTGTCATTAAAATCCTTCATACTTCAGTGCTCTGACATTTGTTCCTATGCTTTTCACCAGTATAGTTGAATGTTAGAAGACAATGAGGTCTGGAATATGATGGTGTGTGAGAGAGAATGTACCATGATCCAGATTTTAACAATTATGGTTTCATTTAATGCCTGTGCTAAGATTGCAGCCAAATTGTAATTTTATGAATTATTGCTTTTATGGATGGGGAGAGTTCTTTTAACAGTTTTAAAGTGTGCATGGGCACACACACATATATATGTAATACAAATGGAATTTGCCAGAGTTTTCTCACAAGAAATAAAATCCCAATGGGCATGACTAAATTTCACGTCAGTGATAAGCAACTCAACAAACTTTATGTTCTTCCAGTTGGATAAACCAATTAAAAATGCATCTGCCAATAAATGCAATCCACATTGCCATCAACTTGGCATCACCTTGATTCAGTAGTTGCCAGGTGAAGAAATTTACCCTAGTGCAAGGAAATCCAAGCACTGACCTACATAAAAGGAAACATCAGGGGAGCAAGGGAATGACACAACTTGCGGGGGGTTTTGAATGTCTCTGTATATCTACACAACTTCCCCAGGACTTGGAGAATTATAGTTGAAGATTCCTGATTCCCCTCACAGAACTAATAATTCCAGTTTTCTCTGGGAAAAAGAAATGACTACAAGATTTAAGCCTGTGGTATCACTGACCTGGGGCTACAAAGCAGAAAGAAAACAAACTCTGGCTTCTGCCATCAGCCATGGGAAAAGGACCAGTGGGGGGTTGCTTCCCTGTCTCTCAGGAGGAACATCATGGCAAGATTAAGAATAACCTGGTCTGATCCAATAGCCAGAGAAGGAGCATCTGCTTCCATCGTTTTTCCTCTTCATCCCGTTCCTGCAGGGAGGGACTGTTTTATCTTTTAATATGTATGCAGTGTTTGGAAATATTGGGCACCTTATAAGATTATAATCATTAAGCCTTCTAGATGTGTAAGACTACAAGTCTTATCACACACACACACATACACAGCATGCCTGATACTGGATGATGGAGTAATTGTAGTCCAGCACATCTGGAGGAGAACAATCAGGTTGAGGGAGGCAAGTTTATGAACTGCATGAGTAAACGTAGGCAGGCCCCCAACAAAATTTATAAGATCAGTGCCTGGCATAATTTGCCAGCTTAAAAGATGACACCTTTAATTTGAGCATGGAAGCCTGTGTAATGTGATATATGCGGTCCCTTGAAAGTCTCCTTATGAATGCTGCTTGTATAATTTCTCTTGAATTGATTTCAGTCGGCCAGTTTGCCCTTGTAGTAATTTTCAAGTCATGTTAGATGGTCCAAGTATAATATTAGTTTGTGGTGTGAACCCAACAGTACAACACTTAGCAAAATGCAGGTCTAGCCTTCATTTTCATTCCCCCCATCATGCTCATATAGAGACATTATCACTGGCTGTGTTGGCACAACATGGCAAGCAGCGCTACCTGTCAGACAATCAAGTTTTTTCTGCTTTATTACAGTTTCCATTTACCCTGCTCATTCCTTCCACTGTTGGCATGTATCCTATTTCATTGGCTTGCACATAGTGGCTGGATGGCTGGAGTGGCTCTGGTAGTTGCCATCCTTCCAGAGGACTCTGGTAACTGTAGACCATCACAGTGGCAACCATGATCCTGGGTTCAGACAACACAACAAGACATGGTGGTAAAGGAAACATAGAACAAACCATATTTTTCTTAGGGTTTCTAAAAGCCAAAGTTACTATGGTGAAATATGACTCGTTTCAGACAACAAAACAGATGAACAATGGTAGAAACCACCATGACTTGTCATGTTCTCGGAATTCAGCCATTGCTTTTTTATATATAAAGTGACATTTTTGTTTTTTGTCTGTTTTTTCACACTTCTTTAAAAATGCAAACTTTTCTTAAACATAGGAACATATCACCAGTCCAAGAAATTTTAGGCTGTTCTCCATGATGTCCTAGTTTTCTGTTCGAAGGGAGTTTCATTTACAGGGGAAGCATTCAGAAGTGGACTTCACTTCTAATTTGAAGCAATAAAGTGCAAGCAGAACATTTTCCAAAAGGAGTATTTTCCCAGTGCTTCCTTCCCCCACCCCCACAAAAAAAGTTCCACTGCATATGTTCGTTCATAACAATGAATGCATTCTGATAGCAAATACAACATTAGGCCAGCTTAACAGTTTCAAAGTTGCAATTAATATTTTATGGGTAATTATCCCTAGCAATTATGTAAGAGAATGTTTGTATGTGTTTGTAATTGAAATCCATGTATGTAATTCATGTAATGAGAGTGAAACTGAAGGTTCTTCGTCGTGGCCTCTGTGCATCATACATATGGGTGCTGCGCCTGCACAGTGCCTAGGCCGGAAGATTAAAAAGCTAATGGTTTTTGGTGGGAAAACTCCGCTCCCCTCCCCCTTCGTGGTATAAATAGAGCGGAGTGGCCACCATTTTGTTCAGTCTTTGTGACCGCCATTCGCTGTGCCTCGTGCCTGTTAACGTCCTCGCTAAGATCTTGAGTCCTTACTGTTCCTTTTGCCTTTATCCCTTCTTTAACTAATTCTTATATTCCTAGTTTATATTCCAAGGTTGTATATCCCTCTCTTTTTCTTCTCAAAAACAAACAAACAAACAAACAAAAAACCAAAAATATTATCTTACCCTCTATCCTGTCATCTTTTCTTCTTTTTCCACGATGGTGCTGTGAGCGGCCTTTCGCAAATGCACCTCATGCGGATCCAAAATGTCACCTGCGGATCCGCATGATCTATGCCTCCTCTGCCTCGGCGAGGGGCATAGAACCGACAAGTGCGGCCATTGCTTGGTCTTTACCAAGCAAGCGCGGAAGAACAGGGAGAACCATCTCCGCAAGCTCCTCTGGGACCAGGCCTTGATGCAATCGGACCAACTGCTCTTATGGCCTGGTTCCACTTCAGCCGCACCGCCTCCTCCACGCTCCACCCCAACTGTCAGCGCTCCTCCAAAGCATCCCGCTTCCACTGCTCCTCCGAAGCATCCTTCAGCTGAAGGCACTACTCCAGCAGAGACCCAGGTGCCGCCTTCTTCCCCAGCCAAAAAATGGGAGAAGCGCAAGCACACGGGTTCGGATAAGCCTTCCGCTCGTAAAGTTCCGAGGAAGGAGAAGGCAGATAAACCCACTGACAAGATCAAGAAACCCGATCGCCCCAAACACCGGGGCTCGGGTTCGTCTATTTTTTCGGTACTGTCTGCCGCCACGGTACTGACACCATCAGGACCGGCCCTGCAACTTACTATGCAGGTAACACCGCCGGGATCCCCCAGGCCTCTCATTCGGCCTGAGAGCGTGCCGACCCAACAAGTGGAGGAGCCGCTTCGGGAGTCTATCTCTGATGACGAGATTAGAGACTCCCCACCGAGGGAACGGTCTCCGACTCCAGTGCCCACGACTGAGCCACCTGTGGAGTCACCTTCGCCTCCAAGGCACCGCAGACGCTTGTCCAAACACCGGGGTGACGACTGGAGGATGCACGGATATGGTGCCTTCCCAGACTGGGGTGGCTATCAATCTTATTCGTACTACCCTCGGGATCGTGCGTCTCCATCGGCCCCGAGAGATTCGCCTTCGACAGCCAGGCATGTGGAGAGG